CATTCAAACACCTGCCTTTCACCTATTCAATAAACGCATTTTATCAAGTACCTACTTAGGCTAAGCCCCAGAGGTATAAGTTAGAATACAAAGGAAACCTCAAGAAGCTCATAGCAATAAACCAGGTTCCACAATGCATTCCGAAGAGCTCAGTGGGAAGGTCAGTGACCTGTGAGCTCCCAGAAGAGAGCAGGGGCTGAAGGAAGGAAGTGAGGATTAGGCTGCCATCTGGAAGAGGGTAGAAGTGAAAGGAAGTGGGGAGTCAGTATAGGGGGCAGAATAGAATGTTCCAGAGAGAGGAACAGCCAGTACAAGAGTTGGCTGTCTGTGAGAGCCCAGCATTTTCAAGGAACTGAAACAAGTTTGATGCGGCCAGAACAATGGGTGTGGTGGTTGCTAGGACAGGGAGAAAAGTTGAGTTTGGGCAAGTCAGCAGGATGCAGACTTATCCTGGGGAGGCACTGATGGATGCCCAGAGGGGAGCACCTTGCTGACATTCGGAAAGATCACTGGGCTTTAGAGAAAAGGATGAAGTAGAGTGCAGCCTGGGAGCTGGAGCTGAGTGCGGGGCGTGGTTCAGCAGCCGTGGCGGCTGTGGCTCTGGCGGGAGGAGCGAGGTGACTGGACACATCCAGGCAGCCAGCTCAGCGGGTCTTGCTGATGGATCTTGGGCAGAAGGGAGGTCCTGGGGCTGGAATGGCTCCTGCATTCTTCACCTGGGGAATCCAGCCATCCAACAGGTGTTAGATCGGCGGGCACCTCAAGCCCTTGGGAGAGCAGAGCAGGACATATTCTGGGGCTGGGGGATGGAAATAACCTGTGAAACCTTTGCATCTCGGCCACCCTGGGCAAAGCAGGGTGGACCTCGCTTCTGCTGTCAGAGCTGAGTGCATCAGCTGGTGGGCCCTTACCCAGATGTTCTGAGGCCCCGGGTAAGTCACTGCAGCTCCTGGAACCTCGGTGACAACAGTCATGTGCATCGGAAGATGGTCAGTGATTGTCAGGGGCATCTGCAGATGATGAAGCACCCCCACCAGCAACCTGGCCCCACCTGCGGCTTCGGGCTCTTTTCGGGGTTGTGACAACAAATGCCTGATCCAGCCACCACCCTTAGTGGAAGCAGGAGAGAGGCATGAGCCATCCCGCCTACCCTCTTTTCCCAGTAATCCAACTGATCCAGCCCCTTCAGACTAAAGTGGGGTAGTGGTCTCCACCCAAGGGGCTCCCGTGGCAGCAGTCTGAGTCTGAGTCCTGCACGAGCAGCAGGTGCATAGGTACATAGCTGGAGTGCCGAGACAGGGTGTCACCACGGCTCCCTCCCACCTACAACCAGTTCCCCTGTGATCTTGTCCTCCTAACATTCCCTGGTCTGACCTGCTCCCTGCTTTTGCCCTTGACCTCCCTCCAGCCAGAGTCCTATCCCCTGTGTCACTTGACAGAGCTCTGTCTCACTGCCACCTCCTCCAGGGAGCCTTCCTGATTTCCCTATAGAGATCTCATTACCCCATAGACGGACGATCCCAGAATCAAGGACATTCCATCTGGAAGGTCCCTTGGAATCCAGTTGACAACTAGGAGAACTGAGAAGGAATAAGTCAGTTAATCCCTGCTGAGGAAAGCACCTCAAAAATGTCCCCATCTCCACTGCCTCCCCAGTTAGGCCTGGAGTGTACTGTGCCCTGTGCAGTTTCTCCTGGAAATCAGCTCAGCCTCACCTCTTTACCTTCCTTGTCCTGTGCTTACTCCATCAAATCTCATCCTTGGGGCCTCCCTGGTAGCCCAGTGGATTAAAGCGCTGTCCACAGCCACTGTGGCATGAGTTTGATTCCCCCAGCCAGGGAGGTGCCCCACATGGCGAAGCAGACCTCTCCTGTCTTCCCGCTGCTCCCCTCAGCAGTGTACTTC